AGACTAGGAGAAGAGAATCATGCCCTTCAGCTAAGAGAGTTGCCAAGCAAGCCAAGAATTTGGAGTTTTGTTTTGTCTTTCTAAGAGGGGAACCAAAATTCTACCTAGCAGCAATTTAAGGCCAAGAGCAGGAAGAATAAAGAATCTAGTGTTTGCCAGTGAATGTTGAGCAATGCCTCTTCTGGAAAATAAAGGTTCATGGGGTTGAGTAGGTCAAACCTGTAAACACTGCTTAGACTCCTTTGCAAGTCATTACCTTTTAGACCTCCCGTTCTGACTTACACTCAATTGGACTGTTTAATAAATACAACAATCCCTCCTCAGTAGACAGCCCATGCTATAATAAGCCTTTTATAAGCACTAATTCATTTTATCCTCACAACTACACAATAAGGAATTTGCTTTTATTTTCCCATTTTTATAAATGAAGAAACAGAGGCATCCCACAGCAAAATTACTGGCTCATAGGCAGAGCTAGTAACAGGCAGAACTAGGATTTAAGCCCAGGAAGTCTGACTCCTGGGCAAGTGCTTTGATTCACTATCAAGAGAACCTGAACCAAAACTATTTGCCTAATCTGCTTTGTAAGACTCAAGGGAACCAAATTTTCAGAGCACCAAAAATACTTTGAGTAATCTTGTGAAAAAAGAGACTCTATAAATATGACTTTCACAAAAATATTTGTTTTGTTTGCCAATGTTGGCCATTGACTTTGATTTTTTTCCCCAGAGGTGAAACAAGGGGCAATCTTTCTTATCCTCTCCTTAAAAGTGAGAATAACTTCTTTATCATCATTCACATTTATTTAAATACCTACTGCTAAGAATTTTACCTTTGGGGTGAATCTTGAAGAATAACACTGGTTCTGTCCATAGGAACGAGAGAAGTAGAGATAAAGATGGTGAACAAGGAGCTAGCTACCGTGAGAAGTAGTAGTCAGTCATCACTCATCTCTTTGCTCACGTAACATCTTGTGAGTGCCAACTTTGGCATATGTGAAAATATTTTCGGTGGAGTAAGGAACCATGTAGTGTTTTTAAATGCAGCGGGAGGTGGGTTTTGTGGAGCCTTGAACAGCAAAAGATAAACCATTAGGAAGCACATGGAAAGGGAGGTGAACATTCCATCTGGAGGAGAAGGAGAGTGGAGAGAAGTCAGGGAAGCTCGTGTGTACAGTCCAAGCGCTTATGACGCTCAGTTTCACAAGAGCAGGTGGAAATGCCGGGTAGAAGAAGCAGTGTTGTCACTCTTCCTTAAACAAAAGAGCAATTATGTGCAACTCTTATCTTCCAGAGGACACACTTTGGACTACTCCCAGTATGCCCTGCTCAGAACCCCACACAGGTTTCCTCCTTCCACAAGATCCAATGTGTGTACAGTTTTTCCAGATCTAAGAGCTTTGCTGACCTTATTGGGACTTTGCATAGAGGGACAACCACAGGCTCAGGCTTGCCAAGCTCACTGGTCCCGAAACCTGATTATAGTTGTGACACAATCTGGGTATTTAGTAATTCAGTAATCCAGTTAACCAAGCTCGTAAAAGCCTAGGCCACTAGAATGTGGCCTCTGTGGGTTGTTGTTGTTGCTGTTTTTTCCCCCAATACTCGGGATGGAACCCAGGACCTTCACACTGAGCTGTATTCCCAGCCTTTTTTTTATTCTCTGTATTGAGACAGTATCACTAAATTGCCCAGGTAGGGCTTCAGCTTTCATTTTTCCTGCCTCAGTCTCCCAGAGTACTGGAATTACAGATGTGTGCCCCCACACCTGGCCCACACTTTCACCTTTGAGAGGTAAATATACACAAGCACTCTCTCAACTCCATCCTCTCATTCCCCACCAAGCAAAGGAAACTTCCTCAGGGAGTCAGCCTTTGTGGGGAATGGCATCTAAGAAAATGTTTAAACTGAAATTTATGGTGTTTGCAAGAGCGAAGTGTGTCGTTACAGCTTTACAACAGCGTTGTGCAATAGCATTGTGTGTGTGCCTCAAAGGTGTCAAAATTATTCTTCTAACATCTGTATCTCTGAGTCTTCTTATAAACCAACAAGAATGGGTTCATTGGGGAGAGAGTTTTGTTTGGTTTTGCGTTAAATCTTCTGGTATTAGTTCTCTCATCTGAGAAAAATACTAGGAACCCTAGTCATTCCCCATACTTCTCAAAAATGTCAGAAGGATTAAAATAATGCAAGTATAAGTGCCGTAACAAGCATCATTATTAAAATAAAATACTTTGCAGATGTTAGCATGTGGCTTGTTGAAACTGTAGAATCCCACAAGGCTTACAGAACATAAATCACCATCCCTGGTATATAGTTTTGAAACACACACACCGGCCTTCCAAAGTATTTTGTGGGGGAAAGGCAGAAACTTCCCATGGTAATGTGAGTCCACAGTTGTTGGTGAGTGGTGTCATCCCTTCCCTTCTTCTGTCTAGCTTCTAGGACTCTAGGTCAGTGAGCTTGTCCCTCGCAGGGGAGACCAAGGACTGACTGATTTTCCCCTGCTCAAGAATTGCAGCATGTGGACAGTGTAGTTTCATGAAGTCCACCAGAAGCTTTTTTCATGGAACTCACCATGGACATGGCAGCATTGGACATGAAGTCCCTACCTTGGAAGACCCTATGATTCTTCTTGATCTCATCAGAAAAAAATCCATGAGATACATCACAGCCACTTTGGAAGGCTCTTACTAGTGGACAGCATTGCTCATTATGTCTCATTTCTGTGTGAAAATGTATAAATCATAAGTTCCAGGAGGAAAAGTGTCCCTTAAATAGGAGTGCCTATGTTCAGCCTCTCTTTATCCATGCCGTGGCTAATCACTTGTAACTGATTATTTAAAAAGAGAGACTGATTCCTCCAATCACATAGATTTCTTCAATGTTTTAGACCCTCAGCATAAAGCAAAGGGAAAACAAGATACAACACAGGTGAAGATTGATGAAGCCTGAAAATTCCAAACCAAGGAAGATGCTTGCTGTTTCTTTGGCTGCCATCTAGTGGCTAATGAAGAAATATCTCTAAAACATGCTCGTGAATATCCAAGAGAGAGAGGCCTGTCTTTGAGACAAAAAATAAGCAGGTTACCAAACTATTATTGCAGACAGGAGACCATTATTCTTTCTAATAATTCCTATTTATATCTAAAAGTGGCATTCTCTTTTCTCTCCGCTGGTCCACATTCTTTGCCTATGAAGAGAGAATTGATTCGATCATCCAATATTAACATAGGAGAAAGAGTCCCTGCCCTCCATGGAGGAGAAATATGAAAGCCAATAATGAGCTATGGGGTGAGCGCTTAGAATAGATGGTTTATGAGACACACCAAGAGAAAGCCCCTAACTCCGTGCTGAATTAAGTCTCCACACAGACCAAAGGGAAAAGGCAGGTAGGAGAGCCCGAGACTGTGTTCAGGAACGTTGAGAAACTGTGTCAGAGGAGGAGCAGAGACTAAGGGTGGGTGCCTTTTGAGATCATATTAGGTAACCACTACTGAAACAGTGAACAGAGAGACCTCAGTGGCATCCAGTAATTACTGCTCATATCTCACTTCAGACGGAAGGTGAGCTGGCTTAAACGTGCACTACCTGTCTCATCCTCTCCAGCGGCCATCCAAAGGACCAGAAGACCAGCCTAGACACGTACTTTTCATATCACTAGCACATCTTAACTCCTTTTGTCATCCCCTCCTCTCCCTCCCTTCTCCCTCCATCTCTTAATCCCCTTCCCAACTGAGAAATATCTATCTCCTTACTTCCTATTGTCTTTTTGTTCTTTCTTTATACTTTGACTTTCATATAGGAGAAACCATGTGATGTTTAAGCTTGTCTGTTTGATTTATTTCCCTTAACGTTTTTCTAAGGTATTTTTCCTACAAATAACTCACATTTATGGTTCCTTATGACACAGTAGCTCTCCACTGTGTGTAAAATTTTCCTTATCTATTCATCTCTTGATGGATATATAGGCTGCTTCCAAGATTTAGCTGTGAATTGTGCTGCTATAAATGTGGGTGTGCATGGATCACTGTGATACAATGTCTTTAACTTTTCTGGGAAGACACCTTGAAGAGGAATACTTGGGTCAAATGGAATTTCTAGTGTTAGCTTTCTGAGGAATCTCCATGCTGACCTCCATGGTGATTGTACTAGCTTATATTTCCATCAGCATTAAAAGCTAACAAGGATGTTCTGCTGACCCTGACCCTCCCGTGGAGTTTGAGAAGTCGCCGTGGCTTTCACTGAAAGCAATGAAGGATAGTCATTACAAATGTGGATCACAGAACAAATCCTGACTGTCATTTATGGTCATAGACTTGAGTTTCCATCTTCTGAACCATACATGGAGATAGCTTCCCCCGGAGGTTCTTGTGAGCATTAAATGAGCTATGAAGAGGAGTGGGCTCAGAAGGGGGACTAGGATGCAAACAGGACTCAGTACTTGTGAGAGGTTGTTAAGTGTCTAGAGTTCTCCAAATATTTTATATGAGAGGACTCATTGTTCCAGTGTATGAGACTGAAGGATGGCGAAAGTCAAGACCAAAACATGGGAAGCGAGATCCCTGTCAGCAGCACTGCCACTCCATGCAAACTTGGTGACCTCTAACGCACTTATACCTACACAATTCATTAGTGGTACCTAAATTAACTCTCAGAGTTTATTTTAACCAAGGAAGAAAGCTTCAGCCTAAGAGATGCATTTAATATAGAATCTCAAACTCTCTAAAGCAGGAGAGGAAAACCTTGTAAAACTCTAGGCAACTGTATGCTTCCAATGCGGTTGACCCTGCCTACTTGTACAAACCTGATTATTCATCTTACCAGAGTTATGTTTTACAAGAAAGTAGACCTTCCTTCCACAAGATGTTCTCTGGTTCTAACTTGTCTCTCTGAAAGTTTGGCTCTGAGTATGAACCTAAAAAATAAGACGCCTCTTAATGGTAAGGGAGGGGAACCCCCCTGTTAAGACTCAATTTTGTTTTCTGGTGTTATTTAAAGATATACAGTGCCTAGAGAAGCTTCTGAGAGATGCTATCATCTATGGCCAGCCTCGAACCGGCAGAGCTTGGAGAAAGATTCTCATCCTGGTGGAGGGCGTGTACAGGTATGGAAGCAACTGGAAATGTGTGAACTCTGAGGTCTACCACAAGCTGACCAGTGGGGAAGGCTGGTCTTTCCAAGCTAAATGAAGAAATGAGTTTGATATGGAAATCCTGGAGGAACCCAAGTCCATTACTAAGGGGAGTTGTCAGGCCGTGGTTGTCCCATCTTTGTGATGACTCTACACAAATGGCAGTAGACCTTGAAGGCTGTTATGTTTTTAAAGCCTTCCTCTTAAATGTTCTCAGATGGTGTTGATAACTTGTGTTGATTCTTTACGTTATCTTTGGATGCCTCAGAGTTTCAGAGACCTTTTACGGCTGGCTTATTCAATGTCAGAATATATCTTGCCTTTGTGTCTTTGTGTCTACTAGAGAATATCTAATAGATGTTCTCATGAGTGGCCCTGATTCCCTAACTGGGCACCTTCCTGGAAAGTGCAACCAGCCACCAGCTACTTCGTGAATTTAACCAATGGTTGGCATCAAAAAATAGAAAGCCTGTCTGTTTTTCCTCCAGAGCTGGGGGCTCGGGAGCAGAATGATCTTAGCAACTGAAGACATACTGAAGGTCCAGTTTACAAACCTTTTTTGAGCTCAGCAGATAAAACACCCATTACGCCATTTTGTATTTCACTTTTACCTTGCAGGCTGGGGTTGAATTTGCTTCATGCTTTGTCTGAAGTGATTATCATTACTCAAATGGAAAATGAATCCAAGCACTTCTGCTGGTGCTTTAGTCCATAAACCAAAGAAACAGGACCTCAGAATGCCCACTCCTAAATCAGTGTTCAAACAATTCTGATGTTAAAGGAAAGAAGGGAGAAATTTCCTATGACATCATTATAGAAGAGTGAAAGATATTAAAAAGGAAGGACATGAGGGCTGTTTATGCTTCCAAACTGGAGGAGTAGGGCTGCAAAAGAAATTTCACAGCAAAAACAGCCTTTCTTTCCACCAGTCTGTAAGTGCGTGAGTTACTGTTGTATAAGTAACAAGCAGTAGAATAAGTGCACCTACAAATGGAAGGATGAATTCTCCTGAATTTAGAAAACAGTAATCATAACCATAATTGGTATTATTTTTATTTTAACTCTTCTAATAATCACTCAATAGCTGGATATCCTCAGTGCTAATGTGGTGTTACAAAGATGACATTTCAAATTTCTAGTAGATAGATTGCTGTATCACTTAACATTCCATCATAAGGTCAGCCCCAACAGTATGCACTGTGTATGAAGTCTTTGGATCACCCTATGCCAGTCATCCTCAACTGGTCGCAACCTGGATACATTTGATCATTTTTCACTACACAACTGCAGTAGGGTTCCGTTGCCTTCTGGTGGGGAGAGGCCAGGAACACTGATAAATACCCTACAATGCACAAGACAGACACACACGTGCACACAAAGAATTGTCTAGTTCCAAATAGTATTAGCGTCAAGACTGAGCAAGCCTGCTCTGGAATAATTACTCACTGGCTCTAAGATTTTAGGGTGCTACTTTTAGAGGGAAGTCTCATATTAAGTCTGTGCTATGGTAACCTCAAGTGTAGATCTTTCTCCCTGTGTGAATTGTGCCAGCTCCCAGCCCAGGAGGGAAGCCCTTATCTAAACACCAGTCATTCCGGCTTAGCCTAGTAGCAATAAGTACTTGCTGAGGAAAAGCAGCCTGGCATCACCTTTAACCAGAGCAAACAGAACCCAGCTGCAAATAAACACAACTTACCTGTAGTAAGGAAAATTATGTTTTAAGCACTTTGATCACAGCTGACAATAAGAGGGCCACCAGCATTTTTACTGCCAAATAATATTCCCATCAGTTATACAGTGAAAACCCACCAGCAGCAGGACTTGTTAATGGCTATGCTGAGCTGGTGTCCTACCATGATTTCAAGAGGACAGTGGAGCCAAGTATGGACTTTGGGCTCTAGGCCAGTCTGACACAAACCACAATTTAGGTTGCACTAGCAATGGCAACTTCTCAGTTATCTTTTGCTGTATAACAAACCACTTCAAAGCATAATAGCTTATACAGCACTGATTTATTGTTTTCCATGCTACTTGTGAGTTGTCTGAATCAACTCAATAATTCTTTTGCTGAACGTGGTGTTGCTTGGAGATCCTTCATGGGACTGCATAAAGCTGAGAATTTTCCTGGGGTTGAAACATCCGAAACAACCTCATTCACTCGTCTGGACCTTGGTACTGGCTGTTCACAAGGCTCTTTCTATCTGTAGTCTCATCCAGTTATCCAGCCAGAGCTCCCTCCATGGGGCTGACTTCTAGCACAGCAGAAGCAGAAGCTAACATTGCTTCGAGGACTCAGCTGGAATTGGTACATCATCAGTTGTGCCATGCCCTACTAACCAAAGCACATCATGAGCCAGCCCACATTCCACAGGAAGTAAAATATATGAGGACCAGCTTGTATATGTGAAGTATGATAGACATATACAGTGAAGGTTTAAAGTTTTGAAAAGTTATTACAGAAAAAAAAATTGCCATTAATCCCACTTGCTTCAAGCACACTTATCCTATTATTCCTGCCATTTTCTGAAGCAGTTCTGGAAGTCCTTTTTCATGAGTGTCTCTCTAGGATATGATCGAAAATTAGGTGAATGGTGCTGTCAAACGCCATCCAATGGCAAGTTTGTAAAAGCATTACAGTGTGTTCTCATCCACTTTTTTCACCAGATCTGGCACCATAGAATTTCTGGCTCCTCCCCAAAGTCAAAATGACTATGAAAGATAAATTTATTAATCAGTTCAGGACATCAAGGCAGCCATGACAATACAACTAAGGACACTCAGGACAAAAGACTTTTAGAACTGCTTCAGGAAGTGATGAGAATGATGGGATAAGTGTGTTCCAAGCAAGGCAGAGTTTTGTCTTTGTCTTTTTGAGACAGGGTCTCACTATGCAGTTCAGGCTGGCCTTGAGCTCACTTTGTAGCCCAGGATTGTCTCAAACTCACAATGATCCTCCTGCCTCAGCCTCCCAAGTGCTGGGATTACAGGTGTGCACCAGCATGCCTGGCTCAAGGCAGAATATTTTGAAGGGAATTAAAGGCAATGTACCTTCTACTGTAAATTTAAATTTAAACATTCACTATAATTTTCACTTACATCACATGCAGGGGTGGGAAGATTTGCAAGCAGCCATCTTTAGGTGCAATCTATCCTAGCACCTTACTCTTCCCAGTATTTAGACAAAGTCTCATTTTCCATATACTTCCTGTGGCAGAAAGATTTCTTTTATCCCATTTGCTGAGGAATTGTGGCTCTCAATGACCTGACAGACACTGTGCACAGAGAAGAATCAGGGCACCTTGTCATCAGCCTCAGTGGAACCTCAGTTTTCTCATCTGTAAAATCAAGCTAGCTTAAGTGGAGTTCCAGAGTGCTAAATCTCAGTGGGAAAAGCTTCATAAGAGTGTTCTAATTCACAGCTTTACCAAAAGATGAAATTCCACAGGGTCAAGATTAAGAACATGAAATCAGAAGTTCACAAGTATATTTCTGCTTTTGAGAGGTATTTTAGGGACATACACTTGGTTGATAATTGACCAAAGCTTCCTTTGAATTTTAACCACTAGGTGTTTTTCTCCTGCTTGTGATCTGCCACCATGGGCAAAATACACCCTCCATAAAAGAGCTGAAAGAGCAATAATTCTTTCATAATTCCAAAGCAAGCATAACAGCCAATTCAGAAAGTTTCAAGCTACTTTCAGGATCAGAAAGTCTAGATACCAAAACTAAAAAGTCATAAAACTTCACAAAAATAACAATAGTAATAACAGCAACAATAATTATGCTATGTGTAATATAGAGGAGCCAAGATTTGGAGGCAGCTCTGGGACTGGATTTAAACCCCTGCGTGCCTGTCTAGAGCTGTTTATACTCCATAGGGCCCTTTTGTAAATATTAAAGGAGATCATATAAGGTAGTACTTCACAGAGGTCTCATCTGTAGAAAACAAGAAAGGGTGGCTTGTCTTCATCTTGAGATTTGCTTGTTGTCACTCGGGAAAATTGCAATTTGGAAACCAAGGAGCTGCTTAAGTAACAAGGCTGTTTGTCCTTCATTTACCCAGAGGGTAAATGGCACCGGAAGAAATCATCCATGTATGCGCATTTCACACGTGCAATCTTGAATAAGCCTCCCAGTAGTCCTCAAATTATTGGGACAATGAGGAAACTGAGGTTTAGAGGGCTGAAAAATTCACCCTTACCCCACGACAGATCAATGAGGTAACACAGAACTGGGATTAAAAACAGGTGGTGTTGGTAGGACAAAGGCTCAATGTAAATAGAAGAGTCAGGCCACCTGTCCACATCCAGGGACCTATATACGAAAAATGCAAAGTCACTTAGTTGACCTTTATAATTATCCTACTTACACCTCAATTTCTTCTGTAAAACAGAGGGTTGAAAAATCAGTCTAAAGTTCAGTGAATTCATGATTTGAGGATTAAAATCACAGTAGCATTACTATAAATTTTCTAATACATATTTTCCTACTACTATTTTTGCTTTGTTTTTGTTTGTGCTTTGTATTGGTTTTGGTTTTTGGTTTGGGTTTTTTAAGTACTGGGAATTGAACCTCAGGCCTTTGCACTGAGTTATATCGTCAGCCCTTTTTTATTTTTTATTTGGAGGCAGAGTCTCCCTAAATTGCTAAATTGCCCAGACTAGACTTACATTTGCCATCCTCCTATCTCAGCCTGCCAGATTGCCGGAATTACAGGTGTGCACCGCCATACCCAGATCTATACCCAGATCTATACCCAGACTAGATTTTTTGAAGGTTTATGTATCTCAGAAGCCTTGATTTCTTATCAATTCTTAGTGCTTGAAAAATAAAATACGAGAGAAGGGTTGCCAAACAACCTGGGGCATAAATTAGCACAAATGGAAGTCAAGCTTTCAGAATGCAAAGAATCAAAAATTAATACCAAGACCTTCCAAAATACACATGCTAATGTCACAGAAGGCTAAGAATAGATAGGCAGTAAGCCAAATCCTCCCCAGAGCAGTATAAGTTTAAAGATTGAAAACTCATTGGTAAACTGTGTCCTATATTTCTATTGTTAAACACATAAAAACAAAGAAAAAGTCAGGAATCTTTTGTATTTTGTTCGGGGTTTTGTTTTGTGTTGTTTTGTTTTGGGTTGGTTTTTTTTGTTTTTTGAGACAAACTATGTAGCCCAGGCTGCCTTGAACTTGTAGTGATCCTCCTGCTCCAGCTGCCAAGTGCTGGGATTACAGGTGTGCAACACCATGCCCAGCTAAGAGTCATTTTTAATCTTCTCTCTTGAGCTCCTCCTCCTCTTCCTCCTCCTCCTCCTTCTTCTTTTTCATCTCTCCTTTTCTCCTTTTCTCCCTCGCTCTCTCTCCCTTGTCTTTTTTTTCTTGGTCCCAACAAAAAGATTTTTGTCCCATCCAAGTTGGTTTATATGTGGAAAAAAATGATGAGAAGAAATTTTTTATAAGAGCCTTGTCACTTAGCTAATACATTATGTAATAGAAAGATATTTAAAAATTACTCACCAACTTGTTGGTCAATGAATAATTCAAGTCCCTTCACAGACTTTGGCATTATCTTTAACTACAGTTGTAATTTAATTCCTTTTCTTTCTACTGAAGTTAAAAACAATCTTCTAGTCAGTGAAGAAAGTATAATGCTGTTCTTTTCTCTTTATTGTTTTTGGTACTTTTTAACAACAATTTCAGAATAATATAGATAACATTTCATGCATGTCTCAGACTTAATGTCCCACTCTAAGTACAGGTCCAGTTCAAATTTGATCACATTGAGAAAATGAAAACAGTGTGAATGGACATAACTCTGCAAAAGCTGAGCTCTCCCTAGAAATCTTTGTGCCCTATATTAACTCTCCAGTCATCAGTACTGAAAAGCCATTAATCCTTGAGGAAGTAATATAAACCTGGTGGGCAGGCTCCTAACATTAGCTAGAACAGCCCCATCGAAGAATGGTAGCTATAAACACTTTTCTGCATTACCTTTGCCACCTGCCAAAGTCAGCTCCAGAACAAAGAATGGCTACATGTGGCGTGTCAGGTTTTCAACACATCAGTATTACTCACTTAGAACATTTTAAAAATGGGAAGAAAGTTCTAGAATTCTGACAGCCTGAAGCCATTTATTATGTTTGACAACCGCCATGATACCCAGGAGCCTCATTTCTAGAAAATTCAACATGGCAAAGTCAAGGGCTCCCAGTTTCTCAGGTTAGGCCTCCCGCTGAGACTGTTTCCTCTCGCATGTCTTCTCCCGAGCAGTAACGGGTCCCTGGCCGTGCATTATGGGGCAGGGGTCCTGTAAGCATGACTTCCAGCCATGGTTAGAAAGCTCTTAGCAGCCGGGTGCCACTTCTGTGAAGTGTGCTTACTTCCATGAAGAAACTGAGACAGAGGACATAATGAAAGAAAGTTGCCTAAATTCACAGTTGGCAAGTGATGTGACCTCCCTCTAAGACTAGGCAGTCAGAATGCCATGCTATCTTCCCGGAAATGCAGACAACTTTAGCCAGCATTTATTTATTTATTTATTTATTTTTAGGGTTTTTTTTTTTTTTCCAGTACTGGGAATTAGCAAGCATTTAATTTAAGAAAATTCTGCAAGAGAAACTCTATGTAATCTCTCTTTCACTAAAATCCAAAGCCAGGCATCCAAGCTGACCTTGTGAAACACACAAATATTGTGGCCCACAGTCCCCTAACTCTCCCCTAACTCCCACTGGTTTGAGTAGCTATATAACCCGCCAGACTGTTTTGATCAAATCAATCTAACAATTAGGCATATTTCTAAAATTACATTATGTGCAATATAAGAAACTAGGAAGGAGAGAGTTGAACTCTCCGATTCAACTGATCAGCTTTTGAACTGAATCGAAGGGCTGCTTAAATAGTTTGGCAAGCTCCTTTGTGCAGGGAGTGTGTGTCTATGTTTTCATAAAACTCACCTGTGGGTCAAAACCATGTGCATTGAAGACACAGCTTACTAAGTGTGCTGAGAACTAATTAGAGTCAAAAGTTCTTTTAAATCTATTGAGTTCTAGATATGTCACGTAAATATACATTTAACTCTATTTATTACTCTTACATTTTTCTCTTTCCTGGAGGAATTAGTTAAAATTTTTTTTTCAGTTCACAATACTATAAAAAAATAAAACACAGGTAGGTCTAAAACAAAGGAGTTTATCTGTCACAGTGGTCCTCAAAGTGCTCTTTCCAAACTTTAGAGCTAGCATCCCCTGGGAGCTTCTGTATTCTCAACCACCCCAGACTCTCCCAATGAGAACTCTGGAGGAGGAGCACAGCAACTTTTGTCTTCAGTCTTTCAGGAAATACTGGTGCTTGTCCAACTTCCATTCCATTTCTCTAAAGGAACAGAATGAAGCAACACCATCAGGTATCTTAAATAAGACGCTGACTTGCAAACAAGCAATGAACATGGGTCCTAGGGACATTCTGCTATGCTTTTATTAATACAACCTTGTCTTAAATAAGTTCTTCTGTGTCTTTTTAATCACCTCTTTAAATCTTCAGCAATGCAAGCACTGAATTTAGATCAGCCAGACCTGGCTAAACAGGCAATGGCAAGTAGATAAAAGCATGTCCTTGGAGCAATTGAATTAACGCTAGCAGAATACCTGGAATCAAAAGCAATCAGTCTAGTTACAATCATCAGCTTTACAAACAAATGTGCTCAACAATAGAGTAAGTTTATGGCTTACTTGGGAATTAGCTAAAACAACTCGCTGAATGTAAATTATTTTATTCAAGTAGCATAGATATGCCAAGCACCCTCACAAGACCGAAAGCATTGTCTTAGCCCTATAAAATATGTCTTCAGAAGAAAAGCGTGGCACGGCCCTGTCCCCACTGCCTGGTGTTGGGCAAACTGTGCGGGACGTGTTGGAAAGAGGCTGCTGGAGCCTCCCGGGGGGTACTTATTAGTTATGAGCATTTCTTCTTCTGCCCTAGCATGGAAGGTTCCATCGTGAATCTGCCCAAGATCGTGGCTCTGAAGAAGAAATACAAGGCCTACCTCTACATAGATGAAGCGCACAGTATTGGGTCTGTGGGCCCAACTGGCCGGGGTGTCAGAGAATACTTCGGTCTAGACCCTGAGGACATTGACGTGTACATGGGCACATTCACCAAAAGCTTTGGAGCCTCGGGAGGTTACATAGCTGGAAAAAAGGTGAGAAAGGGACTCCTTGTATCTTTTTTAAAACCTGTGTCTATTTGAAACCTGAATGCCCTGGGGACATGACAAATAGGACGTCTCTGAATTTCCTTCAATTCACTTACCTGCCTCGTGTGATCACCACACTCCAGCTACGGTGGGCTCACAGGAAAGTGAGAACAGGATTATTGCAGCTCATTTTCCAGTAATGAACAAAAGCATGGATTACACAATCGCATTATAATAAAATGATGCTAACAGTGGCCACAAGGCACAAATTACGAAGGAGAAGGACAGCCATGTGGGGTAGTACTGGGGTGTTTTCTAGAATGAATGTCCACCTTGTTGACAAACAAGGGGAGGTTCTATTTCACAAATAGTGAACAGTGTACACCAAGCCACAGAAGGAACAAGGAATGTTATGAAAAGTATATGTACTTTGGTTTCGGTGTCACGAAAAATAAAGCAGGTAACAGCAGCAATACAAAAAGATCGACTGTGTTTTTAAATTTTTGATCAAAACACTGGCAGGATCAGGAGTGGGCTTTGAAGCTATTTCTTCTGCACAATAATTCTTTCCCCACAGTGTTGGATAAGCCCTGGGTCAAATCTTATTATCTGTAATACCGTATGTGTATACCAAAAGAATTCCAATGTGTTGGGATTTGACTGTTAAAGGAGTACTACCCCTGTCGTTCTTGTATCCATATCCCCAAAGGGTTTGTGAATATGAAACAAAAAATATTTCAAAGAATTTTTAAAGAAGAGGGAAACAAATATTCAAACCCAGGCTTGAGGGATAAGGGACCACTGTTGTGCCCCTTTATAGACATCCTCAGCCAGATATTGACAGTTCTCTCACACAAACCCCCCCTGACCCCAAGAGACCATATAATAGTGGCACGGACTCCACCTAGCATGGCACAGCAGGCCCGAAATGGGGGCATGCACCTGGCGTGATTCCTTACCCATCATCCCAGCAGGAGCCAAAGTTCAGCCCCCTGATAAACCAGACAAACCAGGGAGTGCAGCAGGAAGCACTGTTGTCCTCAAAAATCTGTGATTTAAAACAACAGACTTCATTTTGGTCACTGTCCCAGCCACAAGACACACAGATGCTTACAGGGTGCAGTTTCAAGTGGTCTTTACCCTTCCATAAGCATTGTGCTCTCCCACACTCCAAGAACTGTTTCCCATCTTCCTTCCCCTGACCTGTGGGAATTAGCTGGATAATGCTAAAAGCACAGGGAATACACCTGCTCTCCCAAACTTCAGCTAAATCTGGTGAAAGGTTAAATATTCCCCACCTGTCACAGCAGTGGGTACAGAGGGTCTCATATTTAGGAGCTCCCTTATCCAGGTGACATTGTGAGGCCGTGATTTTGTGATTACTTCAGCAGCAGTTCTGAGGTACAAAATTTTTAACCAAGCGTAACTGTTTCCTGCACCAAAGGCACCTGAATAAACTAAAGCAAACAGATCCTTCAAACGTTCAATCGGGTAGACGTCACCTTTTTCTCCTTAGCGTGCCTTCGTCTGATACCTGCTTTAACAAAGGCCCACAGACTAGCTGCTCTGAGGACTAGCTCACTCTGATTCTCCCTCATGTGCCCCATCTTGAGCTCACCTGGAATATTTAAAAGTAGAGGAACGCTTGTCTTCCTGACTTCTATTCATTTGGAGAAGATACTGAGAAATGGTGAACATTACATTAATCGGGATACAAAAAGTATGTGCATTTCTTCCTCCTCTGTAAAATATTCGTGCCGTGCCTTTTGTGGATCCACGGGGCCGCATCATTCGTTCCTCTTCTCTCCCCTGCCTTTTGAGTCCCTCCTCCTTATTCGTGTTACATTGTAGTTTTTGAATTGACCACCAGATGGCAGCAGGAAGTAGAGCACTTTTGATGGCTGCTCATGAGCCCTTACAGAGATGCTAGAATTGCCCTGAAACAGCAAGATGGGAGACTTTGAACAAACAGGGTAGTTTTCAAGACCTGGAGGGTGACCAGGAGCTAGAGGGGCACTTCAGTGCGTGTATATGTCATCCCCTGGCGGTTTAAAAGTCAAATACTCACCCATGGGGCACAGTTTGGGTGAAATTGTGATGAACCCAGATAAATTGGTTCTTCCCCGCTTCATGAGCCCCTGAAGTCGCACAACTTGTGTATCTGCACCTCCACACTCTTAAATTGTTAAATTATGTTCACTTTAAAATATATGCAGTTTCTATTTAAATCATATATTTGATTCTGAATTTTGGATAATTGTGTAAAGACTCATTTTGAGTCTGTTCTGAACTATGATTTTTAACTGAAACAACAGAGGGTGGGAGAGATAGTAAAGATTTTTATTTGAAACAATCTTTATACTTGTCTTTAAGTAATTAGGGTAGTACAGTTTTCAAAGTTTCAGAGCTTCACTATATATAAACTGTACATAATGCATACATATGGATGTTTTGTAGTATATATCTCATATTTGGGGGGTTACTATGAAATGTCTAGGATTCTAAACCAAAGGACACAGAAGTGTCAAATTTAACTATAAAAAATAATTAATTATATTTATAATAACTATAATATTTATAGTTACCTATAAAAATTAATGTTTCTCTGAAACTCTTATTTTAGTTTCCCTGTTCATGGAGTTCTTAGTGAATTTTGAGATTTGACAATAATCATTTAGGGCCAAAAATCTATAAGAAAGTAAGAGTAGTCTGACTCTAAAGTCTCTTTTTAAATGGCCACATTGAGGGGCTGGGGATTTAGCTCAGCGGCAAAGCGCCTGCCTGGCAAGCGCAAGGTCGTGAGTTCGGTTCCCGGTACCGGAGAAAAAAACCAAAAAAAAAAAATAAAATAAAAAAAATAAATGGCCACATTGATGTTGGCATAGAGGGACTATTTTCCCAATAAAGGTGTCGAGGAGGTTCAAGACATCTTTGCAGAGAGGGTCGAGAGCAGAGCTTTCTTTGCATGTTAACAACCAGATGAGTCATGAAAGAAAACAAGATTTGGAAACAAACAAGAAGAGAAAACATTGACTTGGTGCTAAATGCTGCCACAGAGAGCTGGGATTCTGTGCTGGCCTCAGCTTTGCCCTCGTAAAATGTCCTACAAATTCTGCTCGCTGGAGCTTGCTGCTGGGGAAACTGCTGAAACCGTTCCTAAGGACCTGCAAGATTTTTGAAACTGCTATCAATGCACCATGAAGTCTACCTGGAAGACTCTGTGGTTTCAGAACTTTCAGATGCAATGTCAAATAATGACTTCTCTCCACCTGTCAGAGCTGCATGTCATGAATGGCTTCTTGGAAGAAGCTGATGGCGCTGTTTATTTTTTTCTTCTTCTTTAAACTTTTTACTGGCACAGATCCTACTCAACACTGCAGAGCTTCCACCCTTCTCTGGTTAGGGAGCCGAAGTCCCCCTAACTGCCTGCTGCTACCCTCTGACTTCCACAGCCTCCTTGGGCTGAGCAGAGACCTGCAAATGAATGAAGCAAAGGTTGCCCTCATGATCAGCTGCGAAGCTGGGACTCTGGAGAAGGAAGTAGGATGGGACCATGGAGTGTGAAGTGATCATTAGCCCTGCAGCTTTCAGGCCAGCCGAAGGCAGACCACTTGCAGAAGCTGACTCTGCCCTGGTGTTCTCAGCCCTGACTGTATTTAACAGCCCTTTGAAGTAAATAGGGGTCATGGAGTGAGTACCAAGATGTTTATTCTAAGAGCCTCCTGTCTGATTTCCTCCTGAAAACCCACCCTTGCCCTTGAACTCCAGGTCCATGGATAAAGAAAATAATCAGGGTTTTGAACTTTCAAATGGACTTACAAACCTCACTCTTGGGAGCCCTGTATTCCATGCTAAAGAAAGACACAATCCAGTCTAGTCTTGCAAAAGACCAAGCCCATTCTTAATTGGTGGCTCATGGCGCCAGGAACAGTATCAAAGGGAGGGAATCAGGAAGCAAGACCAGAGGCTTTCCTTGACACTCTCCAGGAGTTACTTCAAGAGCCCCACCTTCTGAACCACACAAGCAAATGAGTCCCCACCTACAAACTGACTCTGGGAGATGGTGGACTCTTCTCAAGGGGCAAGACTGTGGGACAGACAGTCATCGTGTCCAAGGTGTGACGGTGCACCAGTGAACTACTTACTCCCACTGAGTGCTCTTGCCGACACTCGTAAATTTCTCAACTTGTAACCAAAAAATGTGGTTGAACACAATAGGGATTGAAAGAAGTTTTATGTTGTTTCCTTCTCTAGTCTTGGTCTGTGATGCTTCCCAGGCTAGGACCCTTATCACACTCGTTCCTAAGACTGCAGCTTTGTGCTCCCTCATGTAAGACACCAAGGCATTTCACCATCCTTCTTCTTCCTTGAGAGCAAGAATGGTGTTCTACACTTCTCTCAAACTCAAGTGCCTTTGAAGAATCCAAAGTAACAGACGTGAAACATTTTAAAGACCCATCGGAGTCAAGCTAAACCAGTCCTGTAGGTGTAGTGCTATGTGAACTTGATTATATCAGAAATCCTCCTCCTTCCCTGCCCCCTAAAATGGAGCAGCATCTGTGGGTCAAGGAAAGCACCATCAGGTAAGGAGAAGTTGAGCTGGCCTCTGAGCAATCTTGAAACGAACTCACCTTGAGGCAAGTCCACTCGGTTTGGTTTAGAGAGACAGTAAGTGTAGTGTTCCATGTGTGGACTCTGGATCCAGACCCTTTGGGTCTAAATCCTTGTTCTGCCACCTTTTGTGAATAATTTTCTGAACCTCTCTGTGAACCAGTTATCTCATCTGTCAAATGGGGCACTTCCTAGTGCCTACCTCATAGAGTTAATGCATCCAAAGTTGTTTAAGTGAAGCCTCAGACAGCCAGTGAGTATCAACCCTAATGCTAGCTGCTAGCCCCGTTGTGTTTTCAGAGCCATTCCACCTGTGGAATCTGGATTATCCTTTCTTGACAATGCCTCTTTCTCTGTTCACTCCTACTGCCACCACCCCATGAACGATGGGGGAAGAGTTGGGCTAAATATCTTTGGTCTGATGTCTGGAATTGCCCAGGTACAGTTATACAACCTTAGAATATTGCCCCTGCAAACTGAGGAAGCTGGAATACCGACACTGCAAAGGGATTGTACCTTGGAGCCTTCCTCCCGCTCATACTATGATGTCTATGAATCTTTCAGTTGGCAACCATTCAATAACCACCACTTATAACAATAACAGTAACCGCCAGCTACCTAGGTACACAATATACTGCTTTTCTTAGCGCCGTATGTGGATTTACTCATTTGATCCTCCTGACTACATCAAGGCATGAGGCCATCCTGGATTCATCCACATCTTGACGGAAGGACCTGCAAAGTTGGGTTGCAAGGATGTGTGGGTACAGGAAGTGCAAGAGTTACCACCAATTTTTTGCAAACAATCAAATATACACGCTTTCTATTTTCTTTGTTTAATTTCTCCCTTGTTCCACCCCTTTCTTCCAAGTTTTCATCTTCATCTGTCCTAATTCTTCAAGACCTAATCCAGCTCATCTCCTAATGGGAACATTCCCCATCCATTCCCACTAACAGCGTCCTGTCTCCTTCCTCCACATCTTGCACTCATCTGCATATAGTGTTAATTTCCATGCACATTTTGCATGTGGTTTTCCATGGACACAATGATATGTAATATTTTCCAGGACAAAAATCACAACCTGTGTTCTTTGGACACTCCTGAATACTAAATGAGTGCTTACACAAAGTAAGTACTCAACAAACAGATGTCTCAGAAATCATTTTTTCTTCACATCTCTGGTTTTGCCCTAGAGACCTCAACTCTAAATTTGTGGCAACCTCCACCCCTTGTACAGCTTCTAGGTTTTGAAGGAGAGACTGAAAGGCAGGAGATAAAAAGAATAAGCAGCTGGTAATGCTCACTGAACGTTGGTCTACATTTTTCTTTTGAGTTGCATTAATGAAATATCCTTCGTTATTTGAATGGGGAAGGGACTAAATGCGATTCTCACTACCAGTACTGAGATTTGCCACCTTTCTGTATTTCTTCTTTTACCTAAGGAACTTGTGGATTACTTACGGGTTAACTCCCATAGTGCTGCTTATGCTGTATCCATGAGCCCTCCAATAGCAGAGCAAATCATCAGATCACTGAAACTCCTCATGGGACTGGATGGAACCACGCAAGGTAAGAAGGTCTGCAGAGACCTCCACTCCCATGATTGGTCTCCTGGACCTCTCTTTGTTAATCTCCTCCCTCTCAAATACACACCTTTGTCTACGACCATACAACCTTGAATGCACCCCAACTTGTCAAATACACACCTTTGTCTTATGAAACCAAATTTTTTACATTAGGACACATGATGCATGTACTGGAATTGCTTTGTTTCTTTGTTAAATCAAGGAAAACCCTCTAATTCACCTCTTAAAATGATAAGTAAATTTGGATAATTTTATGTGATCTATTATGAAAAAACCAACACTGTATGTGTGCGTGTGTGTTTCCTGTGCTTGTCTCTTATGTTTGTCTGAAGCCGAAGCAGTCAATTTAATGTTTAATTTTTCAATTATTTTGTAGTTTTCACAGCCAAAGGTTAGACATGGAAAACCATCAGGGGTCATTTGAAGCCCTATAGGGAAACAAACATGCCTCCCTCATCACTTCTTTGCCATTGGGTCATCTCAGTCAAAATGTGCTTCTTTGCCGAACTAAAATGAATTTAACCTACTTTTTGAAGAATTGTTTCATCAAAGCCTCCTAGAACTCTCCTTCTATTTTAAGATCTGTTTTGTAGACCTTCTACTACATGAAACACACAGGTGGAGACACAAGGATGAGTAAAGCAGTTCCTTCTGCCAGTGAGTGCCAGCTATGAGTGCCTTTGAGGAGGAAGTAAATTATACCGACTCCATAACTGATCACCCAGTTGAAATCCATATGCCCCATTCCACCACTTCCCAACAAATATAAAGTCCTACATCATTTAGTGCAAACTCGCAGACCTATTTTTAGTAGCTAGAGGGAATATCAATCATTGTCCAGTACCATTACAGCAGCAGAATACTTTTCTACAAAAGGTTTTGCAACTACAGGTGGAGCATCCCTAATAATAAGTTTGAAATGCTCCAGAATCTGAAACTCTTTGAGCACTGATGTGACACCATAAGTATAAAAGTCTGCATTTTGACTTCATGCGATAATATTCAGCCAGCATGCAGGGGCATTAAAAATACAGTATAAATAGCCAGGCATGACGGCACACGCCTGTAATCCAAGCACTCGGAGGCTGACCCAGGAGGATCACTGCAGGTTCGAGACTAGCCTGAGCTACAAAGTGAACTCAAGGCCAGCCTGAATTGCACAGGGAGACCCTGTCTCAAAACGACCAAAAATAAAAAATAAGAATACTGTATAAAATTACCTGGGGGCTATGTGTATATGAAATATAAATGACTTTTGTGTTTAGATGTGGGTCCCATTCTCAATATATCTTTCCAAGATTTTTTTAAAATCTGAAATCCAAAACACTTCCAGTCTTAAGTTTTTCAGAGAAGAAACAACCAGAATCCCTAATATTAGGAAGATAATAACAGAGCGATCTGGTTAAATTAGTGTCACTGCTTCATATATTGATTGCACCAAGGCCCTTTACTGAACCCCAGAGCTCCCTAAGACACTTAAACTACAACATAGAATGTTTTTTCACTTGAGCAGAAAAAGTGACATACAAGAGAATTTCTTTTCCTCTATACAAAATGCAGTGATTGGTTGCTCTTTCCAGGATTGCCTTTGGGTTTACCACTCTGCATCTTGCTAAACAGTCCTTGTGATAAAGAAATAAAATCCAGTGTGCAGAACCCTGATGGTATAGACTGTAAGTGGCCACCAAGATTTAACTCCTAGGATGCTACTTATTACTGTATGGTATTAGATAAATGACCTATCTGTCCAACCCTGAGCAAGTTATTTAACTTCTCTGTGCCTCAGTCCCTCCATGAGGAAACTAATACTATAACATGAGGAAAATAATACCTTTCACATCAAGATTTTGTGAGAACTAGTTAAGTCACTAGTTAATACCTTAAATTGTGTCTAGAAACAATTACTGATGTTTTATATAATTGCTTGCAATTGTTATTAGCTATTGTCCCTAAGGTATTCGTAAAGCACCTGAACTCTTCTCAAAAACTCTGTAGGAAAGGCAATTATGGTAACATTGAAGCAGGACTAGATGACCAAGGTCCTAAACTAGTTAGGATAAGCTAGGTAAGGCCATCTTAACAAATAAACCTGAAAAATCTCAGTGGCTTAACAGAACCAAGACCTATTTCCTTCTTGCACCAAAGCTAATAAAGTCAGTGAGTTCTACATAGTTCTTATGCATCAGGACAGTGTCTCAGGCTGCTTCTGGCTTGAGACATGACCAGGTTGACACAGGACAGCCATGGCTACCAGATTAGAAAGAAAGGGTCCCCTTGGAAGCGATACTTGTCTCACTGATTACAGTCCATTGGTCCGTGCCCCAAACAAAGAGTGGTGGGTAGTACATTAAGGGATATGAATATTGGATAAACAGGTAGTTTCTAACCTTTTACCACTGAAACTATCTAGAACTGCATTAATTCCCACACGAGCCATTAAGTTATATTTTTAAAATTGGCCTGAAATCACCAGCTTTCCACAAAGCTCTATTAGTTATTTTCTTGAACATCAAGTACTTCTTAATGAAAACTCAATCATTTGAGATGTAAACAAAATTATAGGTGAATTGTCTCATCATGAGAAGTAATATCTTTTGGTCCTACTTTAAAGATGAGCAGCTAGGAAAAAGTCAATTTGAAAATTAGTCTGGGTCTCAATAAGGAGTTTCACTAATTTATTAAACCTGTGAGTGCGTACAGCCTCAAAACAAGTGGATTTGTATGTGTGCAACTCCGTGAGTGCATAGAGCCTCAAAATAAGTGGATTGCCTTTGTGCAACTTTGCAGGTATTTCCTTCCCTCCTCGGCATTGGTTTACTTCTCCATCACAGATCCGACTCACTTTATCTGATCAGAGTTGAAGATCTACAGAAAATTTTATCCAACAAATCATCCATCATCAATTTTTCTTCCCCTGAGTCGTGATAGTTCTCCTCTCTCTCTCTCTCTCTCTCTCTCTCTCTCTCTCTCTCTCTCTCTCTCTCGGCATTGTAATTAGGGAATTATTTTATTATTATCTTCAACCTCATAGATAAAGTGTCTCAGTTTACTCCTCTTGCCATTTTAGCAGGAGAGAAAAAAAGTAGAAAATGTCCTGTGTACAGTCTATTTTCTTAGCGCCAAGATAAGAAAACTAGGAAGAAAGATAGGACTGTTTCTTTTCAAAGAAATGAACAAAAGAAAATAGCAGAAAAGCAAATTCACGGACTCATCAGCCAAGTCTCAGGTGGTCCCAGCTGGCACATCTTTTGATGGATTCAGAGGCACACACTGAAAAATCACGCTGGCCTCATTTACGACAATGCCTGCTTTAAATAAAATGAATGAGACAGGTTAGGAGTGCTGCATTAGCTTACCCCTTCTACAGAGATAGACTGACGCTCGGGGTAAAGTTGCCCGATGCTCAAAGGGATGCACTGTGTCGTGGTAGGGCTGCCTGACAGGATCTGAGAAAGAGGAGCCCGGCTCCAAGCCTTCATCTCCAGCCCACTTCACTGCAACTGTGACTGGAGCCTTTCAAGGCTTTGTTTTGGGTCGAGTTTGAGGAGTAGTGGGCCAGATCTGTTCCTTGATGAATGTCTTCACTTTAATCTGCAATGCAAAGCCATACGCTTCAAAGAAAGGCAAGCTACAGGAATAAGGTCAGTGTTCCTTTGATGCCAAGGTTCAAAGATGAAATAGCAGTCCCAGTGAAATGACAATGTTTATGTACAAACAGCCACCTCCACTCTGCAGCCAGGCTGCTGGTAGAGCTAATGCACTCGGGCTGAGGGGCTGCAGGAAGCTGTGCATTCCATATGCACCAAGGCCCATTTAATCTCTCAGCCTGTCACTCCTTGCGGTGCAATGAGCCCCAAGTGGAGATTTGATTTCTCCATCCTAATGGATGTTGGGTGGTCCTCCCAACCGAACCAATGCAGTAAGCCCCTTAAGGGCAAGAAATGTGTCTTGAATTAATTTGGTGTTCCTCTGAATGTCACACTCAGTACTCGGCTTCATAAATTTGTCATGACTCAACTTCCATCTCAGCAGCCTGCTGGATTTCAGGTCAGTGTTGATGCTGAGTACTGATAGGGTACTTGACAGAATACATGGTGTCAAAACCAAGATGGTGGGGACGTTGGTCTCCTAAGACTGGGAGCTAGGAATCAGTGCCATGCCAGCGGTGGAGGCTGATGGGAGCACTCAGTGAGTGAGGTTACTTTTGGAGAAGCCTGGGAAAACTGCAGCTCAGTTTTTGTCTTCATCCAGCATGGCGCAAGCAGCCCCAGGAGGGTGAGCCACAAACCACACCAGCTCCCCTAAAGGCGGCATTGTCAACAGTTGTCTCATTTTGTTTAAATCTTTCATGCACATTTTTCAATTAATCAGTCAACAATTCTTTTCAACTCCCAACCTTAACCCTGCCTCCCTACACCCCCTTTCCTTGACTCCCTCTGAGTAACCGCTCTTTCTCAGAGAAATTAGAGGTGGGTTCCCTGGGTGAAGGGAGCTGGGCTCTATGGCGCAGTGCCAGGCCCTCCATTCGCTCTGTGACTAGTAAGGTGTGGGCCTTCTTAGCCTCAGCGCCTCCAGTGACAGCTGAGGACGTGGGAGGATTAGATGTTGTGACGCTGTGAATGTGGCATGATGCTTGGTACACAGGAAACATTCGATAAAGTTACTAGCAATTTTTTTTAAGTGACTATTTCTTTTGACTTGCCTGCTTGCTTCCCTTCCCTTTCCAAATTCTCCAGGAACTTTTGCCAACCTCGGACTTCTCCTTTGCTCTCAAATCTGATCTCTATTTTATCTGAATTTCTGCAGCACTTCCTTGGTGTGTTTCTGGAATCTGGTCATTTCTCCTCTCTCTGCCGCTTCCTCCAACCTTTCTCGCCTGGATCACTGAAGCAGCCCCCTGGATCTTCTGCCTTTGCTTTTTTTATGTTTGGTTCTCCACAGGGAAGCTAAGATCATCTTTTTTATTATGATTATTTTACTAGT